AATTACTTCTGCTTCTCGTTATCCCCTATAGAAAATTGATTATCTGAACATGATTTGCAAACCTGATGTCTTCCTCTGCACTCACCACCGTTCGGACCTTGGCCAGTGGACCAGTTTGTACCTAAATGACTTTGTGGTGCTGAGATTATAACTTGATTTTGAGGGATTAGTGGTTGGTGATGGAGGTGTGGGAGGTTCTGGTATACGCAACGAGATTGACGATGCTGGTGATGTTAGTGGTTCAAGGATGATGATGGTGATTGGGGGGGGGGGTACAAGCTGGTGTTGGAGGGAAGGGACAATTGTAATAGTGAAGATGGTGGTGATGGGAGGGAGAGAGGGATGCAGGTAGTCGTGAAGGGGTGGGGGGAGGTATGAAGCTAGTTGTGGATATGGTGATTGATGGTGATGATAATAGTGATGCAGGGATTATGGTGATAGGAAGCATGCAGGTAATGGAGGTGGGAAAGATGCTGGTACTAGAGGTGGTGGGATGGAGCTTACAGACTTAAAAATGTGGTAATTAGGAATGTGGATATAAATAAGAAATATATGTTTAATACCACAATAACTCACTCAAGACCGCCTTATATGTAGTTGTTTGCTCTGTACGACACGCTACTATTATGAACAGTTCCACGTCTGAGGAGTCACATTATGTTCGGAAGGTACCTGCATACTTGAGGGATTTTACGATTACATCAACTTTCCCTTAAAAACGTGAATTCAGATGTGCAAATTAACACTAATATTTCAGTTATTATAATAAATAACTTCGTTCTGGGTAATGACAGCCTATCTAATCTAAACTTTCCTCCCGTGGATAGAGCATACCGCCATCACTGGAAGCCTTATCGATCATGCAAAAGTGTGCGAGAGGTCTTCAACTTCACAAGCTGCTGATCAGGTGTACATGAACTCCCATGAATAATACAAAAGTTCAGCTGTTCACATAGAACCTTCATAATTTAGTGTGTATTTTAGGGAAAGCAAATGTTCAGGTAACGAGCAAAACAGGAACCATTAACATTTCTAAGGTAATACAAAGCTTTTTGTAGCACTGGTGAGATGCGCCGGAGCTGATGATAGGTTACTGATTGTAATGGTACATATTACTCGCTGGAACATTATGGCGTTATCGGTAAGTTATCAGGGATATGCTCTTATATAATGTATAGTCTTAGGTAAGCTGTAGCCAGAACATGGGTGAGCAGACTGTTAAGACCATGTGTGTTTAGCGTGGGGAAGGGAGGGAGGGATTCTGTATTGTTGCACCACCTTCCCTTGATGACAAATAATTCGTAACTCGCTGTAATTGTGAAGCATGTGTGAGCAAGGGGTTCTTCTCTAATTGCTGCATCCCTTCTCGTAATGACAAATAAATCTTAGCTATCAAATTTCTGTGAAATTGCAACTGGGTGCGAGAGGAATCGACGACTTTCTCCCACATTTTGGGGTGTCCTTCCCCATCTCCCATCTAAGATAATTATCACGTTTCCTCGGCAATACCAATGTGTTTTATTAATAGTGTGGGGGGAACCTTGTCACAAAATACTTAATACCTAAGAATAATGATGATCTTTGGCACAGAAAATCAATACATTTTTAATATTGTTCGTTGCTAATTATGATAAACGTTATCGTAGGTATAGCATTTTGAGATCTTAAACATTTTCATAGTTTGACTTGTGAAAAAGGCATGGATTGTTTTTTTCTTTACAGCTTTTTTCAAGGGTAATTTTAAGGTCCTTTACAGTACACGTACTTGTAAATTGTAACGCAATGTTTTGTGTGACGAAGTTTAACAAATGTTGATCAGGTTTATTTGAAATAATTCATCCACTTGAGACAAAGCCCTCGAATACGCGAGGCTACTGTTCTCACAAACAATCCTTGCCGGCCTTTGTCTTCTTGACACTAATAACTTAATAATTACAAGGTTTATCCATATTTCATTATACAAGGAGTATCATTATTAAATATTTATCATCCATGTTGTCTTGCTTTAGCTCTTCATTGCTTCATAATTACTGTGCTGGGTTATCAGAGTATTGTCGATACATATAATAAATACTTTAAAATGTGTTGTAAGACATATTGTTCTACTTCTGTATACTGTACATCATAAACGTGTGTACCAGCTAGCCACGAAATTTAATTGATATACAAAGTTTGTCGTGTAGATATTCCTCGTGTAAAATGTATTAATGTACGTTAACACAACCTTGCCCGCCTGCCCCTCAAAGCTCCGTCCCTTTGTAAGCCTTGTACAATTTAGTGCCAAAGCGTGGTCCCACATACTAACAGTGTCCGCTCGTCTGTGTTGCTTAGAACAGATAACCACACTTGTAAATGCCCCAACTACAACAACTTAGGACTACAGTGCCCAAATTATTTCCATCCCTTCCCTTTTTTCGCCCAAGCGTGAGTATAAAAATACTATACTGTACTTAAAAAGATCACCTAAAAGGTTAACATTTCGGCTTATTTCACCGGAGGATTAACCCCAGGTAGCATTGGGTGGTTAATCTTAAGGTGAAATAATACCTGGAGCTAATTTTCCTATTCAGAACTACTATCAACCATCTTTAATTTACGTTTGTTTATAATTGAGTGATGACTGACGAATGCGTGGGGAATAAATTTAACAATTCATATTTTCTTGCCTGATCAACCGGTATACCTGTCGCAATCATCGTTTCTTGTCTCTGATAGAATAAAAAAAATACAGAATTTGGAGACCCACCACAATGAACTAGTTTAAACAGCTTCGAGTATTTGTTAAATAAATTTTCTTGACACCCCCAGAATTTGTAGTATAACAGCACACCAGCGGATGTAATAGTATTAAAGGTTTATTGGAGCGAAAACGAACAACCCAATGGTAAATGTTTGGCAGTACCTCATATCCATCCCTCTTATAATATCAGGAAACCAACTTCTAAACCCAGGCCAGTAGACCACGAGAACTGAACCTGGAGTTAGAATATTAATATTCACTTACCTGGGTCATAACAAGAAGTGGAGAGTCCTCCCAGACAAGTAAACAAACTTCGTAACTGCTCTTCCTAATTTCCAGGCTCCACAAAACGTCAAATTTTCAGTATCCAGCACAGTCTACCACTCGCAGTGTTGCTAACCGTAGGGTAATTCAGCCTCATTTCCTGGTCTGTAGGGCGGTATATAAATAAAAGCAGCAGTACCAACTAATATAGTAGTATTTTTATATTGAGCCGTAGGGTAATAAAAGAGAATGTAGGGAAATTTCAGTGTCTGTGTAGGGCATAGAGTTCTTGAGGGGTTGGCAACACTGTCTCACGTCCAAGCTTGCGAACACCTTCCGTCCTCCCTTCACTCCCCGTGTCAACTGAAGGTCATTTTACCAGTCGTCACAAATTGGCAGATGACAGTAAACTGTCACACGCAAACTACTGTACACCGTTTTTTGTAAAAAATCATCTTTCCCATGTAGTAAAATTATTTTTAATACTTTACCTTAATCGCTTAATTAGTAGTAGGTTTATGTAAGCAATAAGGCTTATGAATATTGATAACAAGCCCAGTGTTTACTTGAATTGTTTGTACCTTCTACTGTATCTTCATTGAGCACCAGTGTTAATATTGTCAAACTCGACATGGTATACATACGAATTGTAGAAATGGTAAACGTTACTTAATTATATATGTACGGTAACGTAAATAAGTACTACGTCTTTTAATTCAGAATGTATTAGCTAATTGTCAACTGTGCGGCGATGTTAACTTTATACAACCAAGCTAGATATTACATGGAAACGTACAGTACAGTATATATATTAATTGTTGTAGGAGTATCAGTAATTATGTTATTCACAGAACCCAAAATTACAAACGAACAAACCCGGATATCTGTTGTGGAGGACGTGCAGACAGTGTGTCATAAAAGGAGGTATCCGCCTTCCCCACAGAATCCCAATTAACACCTGGACACCTGAAAGTGGAGGACCTCGCTAACGCTTACCTTGTTGTTGATTTCTCATGATGTGCTTTGGTTTAATTGTGTTGTTATTTGAGATACATTTTCACATATTATTATTATTCTTTGACATTTTATGGTAATGTTGACGTGCACATTGATATGAAACGTGAAGGTTTGTAAATATTCTCTTCATTGTTTGGCCTTGGGGAATTTAATATCCCTCTTAAAATGACAGAACTAGTGATATAATTGAAGAATTGGGAACTATACGTTCTTAGTTGTTATATAAAAAAGAAAATAATTACAGAAATGTGAGAAATTCAAGGAAAACTATAGTTAGTTACTGGTACACTTTTGTCGTACAACTCGTAATCACAAGACCAGCATATTAGTTACTGTAGGTTGCATTATGTATATGTAATTTGAAAGACTCGTCTCTTGGAACATGGTTAGATACGATTTACAGTAATTATGGTGGTGTATTTATATTTAATGACTACTTTTATATAGGCACTTTCATAGTGACGATGCAACATCTAATTATTATTTTGAATAGAAATCAGAATTTGTGTACTGTGAGTTAGTCATAGTAATGGCAGCCTTGATGTTTGTAGTGATCCATCGTTACCACGTTCGTGTGCATTAGGAAGCTGTTTTATGTGTAATTGTAAATATTCAATGATTTCCTGTTGAGAAAACTAATTTTCTTGTGTATTTTTAAAAGCAGTAACAATTAACTTTACACCCCGGTACAAGACATGTTTACGTACAGTAATTCACACGTAATAACTATTTGGAACCGTCCAGTTTAGTGATGCTCTGGTGGTTTCGTCCAGCAAAATCATCAGTGTTAATTGTTTTATTCTATTTTACATAAAGTCTTGATATTGTCTTTAGTAACTAAAGTTTAAAGTAGTTTCATATTGTTACTATTTTGAGTATAACCGCTCATGTACGAGCATATGAAAAAATATAAGATTGATGACTCAGTGCTATAAAACATTAATACAAGATATCATTCAAAAGGATAAGGAAATTAAAATTGTGTTTATTTAATTTTATTATTTAAAATACAGGAGAAAGAATCTGATGTTCTGTGTTTGTATATATTCATAGAATACAAATTATAATAAAACACTGAAATAAAAAAATCAACACTTTTAGGTTGGATGACACACTCAAACAGATCAAAGCTAAAGCCGAATCGAGCAGCGCTGAACAAAGCTTATTATCCTGGACACATCATCACAGGTATAGCCACACCATCTTCTTCAAGGACAATCCTTCCCTTTAAATATGAAAAAAAACTCCCCTTGGAGAGTTGAGTTGTGGCAAACCCACGTGTGCAGATATTATTGTCGCCAGCGTTAATTGGCGGGGTTGGGCACAAACCTGTCGTTACTATACACAGCTATGAGACAACGACACTAAGGCACTTAAAAAACATATTGTGGTTTTTTGTACTGTAAACCGTCGGGAGGATTTCTTGGAGCACCTGGAGATAAACTCGTACTGTTTAGTGTGTGTGTGTGATTATTGGGGGGTAGGGGGGAAAGGGGGATTCAGGTAAAGCTACAAGATAAAACAATAAATCTATTATTATTATTATTTTGAGATTTTACACTTCCCAACGGTCTCCCGTCACTTGATAGCCTGCACGTATAAGAAAAGTAAGGAAGGTGGCTCAGAGTAAACTGAATTAAGTTACCAACTAAAATTATTTTAGTGAAGTATTTTGTAGGGTGTCAATCAAGATGTCACTGTCTGCGGCTCGTGGCATTAAGTAATATGTGAAACACACACATGACGAGATTTTAGACTCAAGATTCTCCAGAATATCCTCCCCTGGCTAATGTTACAACCGTGACGACAGATTGGCCCGTTACCAACTCTTTGAAAAGATGGTAAACAAGCCAGCAGCAGGATTAGCAGCAGCAGGAATCAGGAACCACCTGGATAATAACTTGTTATTGTCAGCTTTGTTCCAGACTTTGCCAAATCACCACATTTAAATTAACATTAATAGTCAAGTCATTATATTTCTCCTTAAAGCTCAAAAATACGATAATGTTAAAGAAATCTGAATCAATTTGGTAGAAAGAAAAATTATCCCGAATTCTCACAATTGATGATGCAATCACATATGACAGGAAAATGACTGGCAAAGTCTGGTTTCCTTTGGCATCGTTAAAGACCCATCAATCTACAGTGAGTGAGGGCAGTACAGTACATGTTAAATGGCCACAGTTGTGAGGCTGAATCTTCCGTGCTAAAATAACGGAAAACACTTCCTTCCTGCCGTGGCGGTGTTGTAATCCCCACTCACCAATTCCGAGGTGGACACCCTAGTTCCTATAGCATATAAAGGAGCACATTCAACATTTAGGAACAATGACTGTGGCTAGAGAATTTGAGACTGAACAGTATAACAGCAGCTTCTTTCTCCCAAGCCTTAAACTACTAAGGTACTACAACCCACCCATACATCCTACGTTTAGTGAACAAATAGGAATTTAGTTCACCCCAAAATTTTCTATCAATGAAGTAACTTACAAAATTTCATATAAAATAAATTATAAATTTCTTTTGCGTATTTAAGTAAAATCATTAAATTCTTATAAAAATTATCATACTTCAAGACTTTGGCATGATTACTACGTAAAATGTATTCAGACGCTGTAAAATGAATAGAACAGTTAATTTTCTTTCATTAGCACCATAAGAAAAATAAAAAATATCCCATTCTGGTTAAATAAAAGGTATGTTTGAATAGAATAAAAATGCAGTGTGAATAAAGTTAAGTTTGCCTATAAATACCCATAAAAACATGTCTATCCCACAGTTGGTGGACATGTTTCTATTGTTAAAAAAAACCTTGACCTACCGTGTCCCATACGCACTGTCCGCCTGTATTACTTAACACCCTCGAAAACTACTTTGTTGACCGAGAAACAGGGAGAATGGCAATTATTTTCAATGTTATTACAATTAGGATTTATTTCAGTGTTTTAGATGTGCAACCGAGACAAATGATGGATTTTTATTTGATGCTGCCCTTCCCCTGTTGCTCGAGGAGGCAGTGACCTTAAGGCTACGATGTACCGAGGCGAGACAGGATTCTTACATGTTAACCACAGGCGTGACTCAACTTTTAATTATTACAAGCCAGACTTCCTTAACACGCTCATTTTCTCTGGTCATGAAGAATCCCACCCCATGTATTGTTGTTACAAGAGCGGGAGCTGAATAGTCAAGCCTACACTAGGGTGTTACATGCCTTATATTAAGTTTAATGGGTGATATGCACTTTGTTCAAGACCGTGGGTCAACCTGACTGTAAGACATCACTAGCATCTATGCTAATTTTCGTCAGTACTACAGGAAACCAATAGCGTCGTATGCAGATTCCCAAATTCCGACGATTTTGTCATTTGTGTTCGCCGCCAACTAGTGGGGACTGGGACGCAGGACAGTTGTCAGGGAATGACTGGGAGGCTTGCGGCGCACGGTCAGCGTCACTGGGATTGTCAGATGACGTTGCCCAGACGAGGAAAAAAAATAAGAAAACGTCCAAATGGCCGTTCTTGTCTTGATATCTTGTATTGGTGATAAATTTTGTGAGTTTAAACCTTTTAAGGTTAAACTTTACCAAACGGTCACATTTATGAAATGGGAGCAGGGGCCACTAGTCTTGGTCAGAACTATTGCAATTGGTGGCACTAACCACTTGAGCTCTTATAGGGAGTGTCAATAACCATAGATGGGGCCCACATGCACTATGCAGGCCACCAGTCTTTGTCAGACAACATGGATTCGTGGCACTAACCACTTTAGCTCTTGTAGTGAATGTCAGTAGCCATGGAAGGTGCCCACATGCACTGTGTGGACCACCGGTCTTGGTCAGACAACATGCACTTTGCGGCACTAAACACTTCAGCTCTTGTAGTGGATGTCAGTAGCCATGGAAGGTGCCCATATGCACTGTGTGGACCACCGGTCTTTGTCAGACAACATGCACTTCGCGACACTAACCACTTGAGCTCTTTAGTGAGTGTCAGTAGCCACGGATGGGGGCCCACATGCACTGCAGGCCTCTGGTCTTGGTCAGACAATTTACAGTTTGCAGCACTGACCACATGAGCCCTTACAGTGAGTGTCAGTAAACATGGACGGGATCCACATGCACTGCCGGGCAACCTGTCTTGGTCAGACAAGTATTGCAGTTCGCAGCACTAACCAATTCAGCCATTAGTGTCAATAACCATGGACTGGGCCCACATGCACTACCCGGGCTACAGCAAAGACGATGAGGGTTGAAAGCCACAACCGTCGCCTGAAACCCGGGCTGTTTGTCATCATCAGTACGAGGTTAGTCTTTATACTCAGAGAGCATGACTGACGGTCTCATGAACTCGTCTCTGTCTAATGATAAAAGTTATGGATAAAACCATTGGTGTCATTTATGTGCTTGCTTAGAAAGTCTCAAAATCTTATCGGTTTATTTTCTTTTATTTTCAAATAAATAAATTTACAGGACACTGGGTAAAATATTCACACTGCTTCATTTAATACTTCCAACCCAGTGTTTCTGGGCATAGTATATCACACACAATAATATCACGCCTATCTAACACTGATAATTTACCCCAAACTCATCAGTCATTTCATTCACACATTATCGTTATATATTATGTTGGTAGAAAAATATGAAACCTGACGTGGTAAGATGAGTGTGTGGGCGCGCGTGTGCAGGACGCATGCCACTCCCCCAAAGGCATGGAGGGCTGGCATCACGTCCTGCACAGCAGGGCTTCAACCGGTCCTGTCCTGGACACAGCCACCACACCTGGCCAGGCTGATTCACCCCACCGGCTCAGTGTACACCTGGGCACACTACGTACCAGGAAACGTACATGTGTACGACTTCGCATGATATGTACGCGGCATCAAATCAAACCAGGATACGTGTAGCTTGCCATATATGTACACCAGGCCATGGTATGTACATGTGGCGGGCTATTTACACCGGAGAATGACCTCGGGCAGAAGAACAAATATACACAACTTAACGACGGGGCTTCAGATTGGCGGAGGGCCATGCACATAACGTAGCTGGGGACTCAGGGACAAGTTAAGAGTGTTGACGTGGTCGCAACAATTCGGTTCCAGCAAGCATGCTACGCAGAATAGCAGCAGCAAGGCTGCCTGGAACGGTAGTGCTGCCCGCACCACTCTCCACATCCACCCGCGACGCCCACTCACTCCACCAATGTTGTTGCCACGGCGGGAAGTCCTCCCAACTTTTGAATCCTTAGTCCAACTGCGTCTCCTGTAAAGAAACAATAATTTGATGTTTTAAGATTTTTCAGTGTGCCGGTATAATACTACTGTATCTGTTTACCATGCAACATGTACTTGTGTTCATGGCTTACAAAACAAACCTCAAATGTCTTGACTACTAACGTGTTGTCCACCAGCCCTCCCTAACCCTACACAGTTCTCAACACGGCCGATAAGGGCCAACCCTTTGGTCCCTCATTTATTGTCTGTAATGTGCCGAAGGCAAATCCATTTTTCCGCCTGATGTTCCAAACATAATATAACCAAATCACTGATCTGTAATTACCTATGAGGTACCTCCGTGAATGGGATTTGCCAATCGGCGTCTGCCTCCCAAAGTCGACTCTGTCTATTCTCGTGACCCAATCAACAATGGATCGTTTCCCTTGTCACTTTCATGTATTAAGGTGGAGAAACTTTATACTACAGTATACAGTATTGACAAAAGAAAAAAATTCACTTTCCTTAGAAAATTATTGAAGTGAGTGTTGTAAATATTCTTGAAATACAGATGTTAACTTTTAATATTTAGAAACCAAAAACTTACAAAAAACAAATTTATCCCCATAATAAACATACACAGAAAGAGTCCATTTGATAGTTACTCTGTTAAAACCTTAGTAATGAAGTCAGCTCTTCCTCAAAAGCCCATTAATCCCGTATCTTTTATTACTATACTCATTAAACAGATTTCGCGGTGTGTCCATTTCTATGTCTTTTGTGTTGTTTGTCTTAGGGATTACTATGATGTGTTGGGTGTTAATGAGTAGGTTAACTGGTAACATGTATTTATACAATAAGTGATCAGACACCAATACTGTAATAATTAATTTATGTACATGGACAAAAGTATCGTATTCGGTACCGTACCTAAGCTGTGGTGATGGCTTGGCTTGGTCGAGGGTCTCGGCAGATCTGACCACCAGCTCTCGGCAGTGCTTCTGTAGTCCCTTCAACTCAGTCTCCGCACTAGACAGTGTCTGGAAGAAAAATTTACAAATTACATCCTATATCTAACAAAATAAAACCAATTAAATTTAATACCCGAGTCTTTGTAAACATGCAAAATGTATATTTCACAACTTTATACATGCACGCACACGTGTGTACTGTGCATGTATAAAGTAAAAAAAAAAAGGGGGGGGGAAAGTGGTATAAAGTTCACCACGATAATTTCCATTTACAATAATAACATTATTACTTACTTTACAGATGGCGGCCCAGGCTTGAGAATTGGGGTGTAAGGAGGCCTCTAGGTCCCTGGCTAATCTCCTTAGGTGTGCCAGGCGACGCTCGCGTTCACTCAGCTCTTCAGAAGAACAAGACTCGTAGCCAGAGGTTCCCGAGTCACTGAGGCACTCATCACCAGAGGTTCCCAATGACAGAGTTGACCCCTGAATGTCAACACCCTGTAAGAAAAAAAGTTTGATTAGATATAATAGTGCTATCACTACAGTACGACGGGTCTAGCAGTAACGCACATACCTGTAACTCACTAATATGTCGAGGGTTCGAGCCTCGGCCTGGACACATGTGAGAAGGGTGTGTTATCCAGTGTGACCCAACCAAACATCACAGATTTCCCGATCCCCGATTACCTCCTGTACTAACACTGGATAGACCGCCCAAACGGCGAGTAAGCTGATATGTGAGAGAGAGAGAGAGAGAGAGAAAACATACTCGAGCTATTAAAAAAAAAAAAAAAAAGGACGAATTAAGAAGGAATTTGGTTACTGCAGTCCAAGGCTGTTAAGCCTACGAGTGAGGAAGGAGGCTTTGGTGTCCAGCAGACTGAGGAATGAGGTGTATGGACAGGTGTTATGGACGCTGCCTCACCTGACTTACAATGAGGTGGCTGCGTGAAGGCATAATAGTACTACACAGGACGCAAATGACTGTCCATCACAGAGGCCGCGCCCATCAAACAAACTAGACTACTTGTATACAGTATATGACGCTTCTTAATAACTTACCCCAAACAACCAACATAATAGGTTTTAATCCGCGAAAATTTTATATTTCTACCCAGTAAACTTACAATTGTGTTTTGATATGTAAGAAGACTCCATGTATTATTCGTTTTTTTTTGGGGAATGAAAATGGAATATAACCGTATTGTGCTCCGGTCTGCTGCATAACATGTTATTCGGCTAAGAGAAAGTACATATCATTCTAACCCACATATGGCAGTGAGCTGGATGTATATCTTGAGATAAAGCTGACTAACAACCGTGAAATGCAAACACACTTAAACGATCTTTATTAACCAATTCTCTAATGTTACACACCGTCCAATCTGACTAAGTGTAGTAAGCATAGGATTAGATTCGACTTGCCTTAGCCTTAAAGCGATCCCTAAACCATGACCCTAGATTTATATTATATTCCATTCGGTAACACCATCCTGGCTGGTTATCACAAGCTTTTAGGTTGGACACGAGTTAACCATGACTGAAAACAATATTATCATCTTGTAACATCCTCTTCCCAGTTCAACATGGCACTTTGCCAACCAATAAATTTCTGCAACATATTTCACAGATACAACTGCGCAGCAAGTCTTATTTTTTATGTACTTATTACTTTATTATAAGTAAAGGCTATTGAGATATTGATAGGGTGTTTGAGTGTGTCAGACAGCCGTCAAGTCTCCTACGTAGAAGGCATCAACACACATGAATTTACTCATCAAATCGACCCTCACTAAACTTGATGATTCTGCTGATCATCATGAACAATCCATCTTCAAGATAAGACTCAATTTTTTTCTTGATGACACTTCTCAATTTGGTGATTAATGTGAGTGTCAGTAGCGGGGGTGTGAGGGCTTTCTCCCATTTAAATAAGATTGAAGAGGGCGCACGACCCCCTGCAAGGCAGCACATTGGCTGCCTGCTGGAGGGTCTTGTTAGCGGCCTGTCGGTATTAATCACGGCACACAATCCCCACTCCTCACACAACACTGAAACCAATGCATTGTCTCACGTAACCAAAACTAGGCATAAGCTCACACAACCTCCTCCCATTCACATGCTCATACTAGAAACCTCAACCTTTTCATGTGAACCTGGGGAAACAGAAACATGTGTCTCTTCCTTACTTTCCTGAGCTTCATATTATGAATGAAATCATGACCGCGTCGGTCATCCAGGAGTTGGCCGAGGCAGGGAGCGGGGTATACAGTATGATTGTGAGACAGGTCAAAGGAAGTTAATTTCGTCAACGTGAGGAAACATCATCATAACCAGCTAAATTTAGTAGGAGGGGCACTGGAAGCAAGGGAAGGCTAAGGGGATTGGACTGGTGGTGGAATAAGAGGGTTTGGAGAGGGATCACGTAAATGAACCCGTTCCCCAATATTACTATTTCTACCTATGCACCTACATAGATTTAAAGAAATAAGAGAGAGAAGAGAATGTAGAAAGAATGTTGAACTTACGTGCTCTTTAATTCTGCATTGTAAGGTGATAGAATATGACGAGAAGAGGTTATCTGGTAACGAAAGAGTCGAGAGGCAACTCCAAGAAATACATACGCCAAGCAAGTAAAGTAAATCTGTTTGGCGGGTGGGACGATGTGCAGCATACTGATGAGGCGGCACAATAGCAATATCCCACCCGACCATCACGCTGCATCAACCAAAATTGATGTAGATCTCCCTATGATAATTACTGTACACTGAGCAGTCCGGTCACAGAATTCCCACAAGCAGGCTGGGACGGTGACAATGCACAACCACCACTGTCGTGTTGCTTTTCCAGTTGTTGCCCGACTTACACTTGGAAATTTCAAGTATAAATGCACATGATCACATGCTTATGTTTTTTTTTTCTGCTCTAATGTAGAGCACACTTTATTTCACTAACTGTACAGTACCACTAATCCTTGGACTACACAATGGTTCAATACCTATTTTGAAGACAAATCATAGTAAACCCTGTTGTATCCACACCAAAAGTTCTGTATTACTGCATTCTAAAGCGACTCTTTCCAGTTAGAAAAAAAATGTACATAGACACATACATTACTGACATTTTAACAACGTCTTCATAATATAATTGTTCAGTATTTCATAATCACTGGTACATAACTTTAGTTAGATTATGTTCCTGTTCCCACTTTCACATTCTACCTATTTTATTATAGTGTATATTATTTCCTTCGTACAACTTGCCTCTTATTTCGCTTAGTTATCTTAACTAATTTTTCCCACATAAAGTCTTTAACGTTTAGTTAGTTTCCAAAGCAGTGTGACGAGTGACAGTTATGGTATGATACGCACCTGTGCCTTGGTGTGTTGTAGCAGCAGCCTCTTGCCTGGCTGGGTCTTACGTCTGTCATTAAGTAGCCGTGCCACGCCCTGTACAGAGGCTGTCACATTGTCAGTCAGCGACCCCGTCTGTATGGCTGCATCCAAGACCTTCAAGGTATCCTCATCCTGCCTCAAAGCCTTGGTTAGTTCCTCTGCCTGAGTCTCCCACAGCTTCCAGGTGGCTTCCACGCCCTCCAGTCGGGACACCTCGCTACTCATCCTGTAAATACAAATAAAACACATCATGTTCAGATGGTTACCTTTATTGGCATGATGGAGATTTTTTCAAATAAATGATCCACTATTTAATTATAGAAAGGCGTCAAGTTCTGCCGCTAATTACGACAAGTGTTGTTCCAACGCGATACTAAGGTGTTAACAAAGGGTGTTGGGTAAGAAGTTATATTAATTATCTATCTTGCAACCTCTACGATGTATGGATCGTACAACTTATAAAGCGCCAAATGCTCCAGAAGCATTGCATATGAAGGAAGGAAAAATAAAGGGGACTTTCATGTGGATATATTGAAACAAAACTTTTTACTGACCGTCTGTCAGCTTCGTCCCAGATCCTGAAGAGGTCTGCGACGTCATCCTTGAGGGGCGCCAGGGAGTAGCCTGTCTCTGTGAGGTACCTGTGAACTGCCAGGTTGATGCTCGAAACCTCTATCTTCCGTGCCAACACCTCCTGCTGCAGGGCCTGTTCAGGAGAAACAAACAACATTTAATCAAAACTAAACAAAAAGTTAAGAAAAAATATTTGAAATACAAGTTATCGTGGGACATGCCCAACATCATCATGAAGTTCCATTTGTGTTTGTCCACTTTTACGATACACCAACTGAAAAAGATACCCAGGTTGAAGACTATATATACCCCAGGAGTCACCCTGCACGAATTAGACATAGCTAGTAGGCTGTACACCCCCCAACAGCTTCGGAAATGTCACTTTAGCAGCAGCGCTCGTCATTGTATGCAAATAACGGAATCCACTATTCATACAAAAGGTTCAGGCGTAAAGTGGCCGAGTCATATTGTACGTTAGAATGATTAAAATAAATTTACATTAACTGCGGGAATGTTAATCAAACCTCGATTTAAAAATGCGTTCATATTACATAGCGTCACTGTTCAATATTGTTTTCATTACTGAGGCCTTTCTTGTATGGTACACTGTTCAGTCAGCGAATTCGTTTGTCAGGCAAGTTTAAGACAGCCCAAGAACAGTAAACATAAAGGAGAGGCTCCTTGTTCCCCAGTGTGGTGGAGTTGAGGAGTGGTCGTGACGGGGGTGAGCGCCCCTTGCTGGGCGCCGTCACACCCGACTGCTTCACCACTGCCCACCCCAACCCCCCGGCCGCACACACCCCCACGCAAGATAAACATACACGCGATACAAGCATCTATGATTTAATCATGTGTGTAACCTCTTCATACTGAAGCTTAGAATCCTGGTAGCTCGAGTTTGTCACCAATTCCCAGGGTCTGTAGGCTGTTGTGACATGTCTGGACACTCCTCGCTTTACTATTCAACTGTGACGTCAGGTTGGCATAAATAATGGCAGCTACAGCTAATCATCATATAAAAGCGTGCTTAACAAGTAATTAGAGAGCATGTGCGGCATACTAAACGTGTGTGGGGACACATTGTACCATGAAACCTTTCTAGAGTCGGGTTATCAAAGCAACCTCCGAACTATTTAATTGGCCAGCGATGCTTGACTGACAGGGACAAGCCAGTCACGTCTAATCCACCTTTTAGTTGGCCCAAGATAACTACCTTAAGTACGACAATGGAATCCGTTGATGCAGATACAGGTTATAATGAATGCCTTTTCTTTGGGGTTCTCAACTTTACAGTCAACGTTTTGTGGAAATCTTAAATAGGACATTTCAACTAAAATAGTCATATACGACAAACCGCTTCCAATTGTAATAGTAGTGCAATATCGACACGTGTATCGAGGGTGGGGCTGACTAAACAAAATTATACTAATACTGTATGGCTGTAGAATCAAACTCCATCTACATTATGTAAGTTGATATAATGGTATTTATTGTAGTTATTAAATAAATCAAGCCAACGAAATCACGATCATAGCCGCCTGGGACAAGACATAAATCGTATGGTGTGTGTTGTGTGGACACGGACAACACATAGTGTACTGCAAGTGATGAGGACGCCCTGGGAATAACAGTGAAGGGGAAAAGGTAGGACTGGAGGACACTTTCAAGGGAGGTGGATCCAAGGGTGCCTTCAACAGGGTGAGAGGCCGAGACGCAGTAGGGGGCCGCGCTGGTCAATCATCCGGAACGCCAAAATTATCATCCCAGCACGAGGCGGCAGGCGCATGACCGCACATCCCTCCCCACCATTATGCACAACCTGCCCACCTCCCGGCACTCCCCATAGCCACCATGCACTACCTAGCTATATGGCCGCTTAGTAATGTACACTCTTGCTGTTGGAGACCACTAATGTTGATAAACCAAGGAGAGATGTTATGCTGCTACAACCTAAAAATGCAACGCAGCCCGAAATGACCAAAGACCACATATCAGGAATGCTGGGGCGAAGACAGGGTTGCGTAAGTACTGTATACACAGCTGTCGATGAATCATGTAGTCATATACCAAACGTGTGCCACTCGCTACCGACCAGTGTTGGTATTGAACTTTATCGACACACTTAACATCCTCTAGCTTTATTACCCGACACAACCAACCACAAGAATGCTCGACTTACTCACATACATATTCGTATGTTCTAAATTGAAGTATAAACTTTACCCACTCCCTCCCTTGTACAGAAGTGCCCAATAATATATATATATATATATATATATATATATATATATATATATATATATATATATATATATATATATATATATATATATATATATATATATATATATATATATTTTCTGAGTATATGTTAATTTTTTTTGTAAGTAGGAACTATCAAAAACTGCTTTATCAAGTTTATAAGTATAACATAGTTTAGGATCGGACACCCAACCACGTAGTGCGCCTAGTTGGCCGCACTCGCCGCCACGCCTCCCTGATACTATGCGATAACCCAGGGACAAGATTTTATTCACCAATATATCAAGCAGCGGTACCCTGGGGCGACTGGCTAGACAATCTCTTTCTTTTGTGGGGGAGGTTGCTGAGGGTAGCAGGAACACTGAGATGAAGAGTGTGGAGGTGGCAGACATTCCGACTGTGAGGGGAAGGCAGGCAGTAAAAATCGACCCCTAAAGTTAAGTCAACAACACGTCAGGGGGCTCTTCATCGGTCAAATCGTATTTTATCCCAGCACAAATATGAGCTGTAAGAATCGCATAACATAACTCATGCTGTCAGGTCTGGGTTAAGGTTGGCATTCACGCCTATCTTCCATTATATCAAATATGAGTTACCATGTTGTTGTTGTTCGTTCTGGAAAAAATGACGTTCCCTAAAACGGAAAGAAAGAAAAAAAGAAAAGAATCGGTTGTAGGCGGCAGGTATGCTTTGAGCCATTAAGTATACACGCAACCCCGCGGCGCCCACGCTGATCTATACCCGTCATAACCCACCAACATATTCACTTAATATAATAATAGGCACGGTTCAAGCACGGCGTACTCGATGGCTGGCACCCATAATGCCAGTACGGCCATCACCACCAGTTCTACCAGTCCACTTCACAAAGTACAACCGCCACCAATTGCATGCCAAATTGTACTTTCTTGATCTATCACCAGCTCAAACGAGTACTAAATTCCATATTAATCGTTAAGACCAGACAAATCGACAGAGCACACCACTTGGTACGGACTTTCCTTCTACCCTGTTTACAACGGCACAATAAATTTAATTCTTGTATGGTACGGATGGTCGGAAGTATTACAAAATCACTAGCTAGAGCTTAGGGTCAGAAATTGTTAGTGGCGCTTCATGATCGTGGCCGAGTAGTGGTGAGTCAGTACCTTGGCTGCCTGGTTTTGTTTGGAGGGAGCATGGGTAGGCAGAAGGAAGAGTAGCGTGGGCGGGGGGCAGTGAGTGTAAATCTGGCGTCGTTACTGAGACACGGGCCCCCGCGGAGAGGCCGACCCCTGACAGCTGCAGGGTAGGGGAGGGAGAGCCACAAATATATTTGCAGCGTCCACCCGTGTCCCCCATCCCCACTCTTCTATTTTCTATTCCCATCTCTTTTGTTCACCATTTCTATATTCTATTCCTTTCCACACACTCCATGCTTTATCTTTCGTTTATCCCTTCACACTGTTAGCCATCGCTCCAAATTCATGTTCCTCATATACATGGAAGTTTAAGTTCCCGTCTTCAATGAACACTCCCACGCCTCCCACCTCTCATTAAGGGCCGCCCGTCCCCAGCATGAGGCTCCCACAGCGCGGAGATACCACAAGCGGTAGGTTCTAGCTGGTGGTGGTGTGCGGGTACCATCAAATCACGTGGATGCTCCTTGTCAAGTCCCACGCACCCCCACTCACTCATCTTTTGTCTTCCTTTACCATTTTCAACATTTTTAATTACGCCTTAGTATTAACATTTTATTCGCGCATTTCATTTATTTGTAGACAAATATAATTTATAATTCCAATAATATCTACTGTATGCTTGCCTTTACTTTAAGTTTAACCATATACAAGAACTGCAATAAAGTATACAGTACATATTGAAAGATGAGAAAATGGCAGAGAATATACAGAGACCTACTACATTTATGGTGCCACGTGACGAGACAGGGATGTTGACTGTGGTATTAATGGTGGTGATAGTCGAAGATGCTGCTGATGGTAGTTGTGGTAGCAGGCCATACTAGGTGGTGGTGATAAGTCGTGCATGAAAAAAGACACTAGGTATTGGTATGTCAGCTGGTGTCAATGGTGGTGGTAGAAGTTGGTGGTTATGATGGTGAGGATTTTAGAGAAGGCAATAAGAGAGGTATATGTTGGGGTATACAGCGACATGATGAGCACAACAGGGATGCCCCGCAGTGCTGGGTGCCCCCCCCCCCTTCCCTACCCAGACACCCGAGGGCTCACAGTAAGTCTTCCTGCCTCTCCATTCCCGCAACACAACCCTCCCACCCCCACTTATGAATATAACTTATCTATCTTAGATATGGTATTCCTACTGCGATTATTAAAAGTAAAAACAATGTTAACTTCAAATTTAATACATCTTCTACGGCAACATTAACCAGTTATGGTCGGAAATATATAATTGTAATAATATACTATGGTTGGTAATGATGGGCTTCTGCAAGCAAATGAGTCGGGGTCAGCCAACAGACGCTTGCTGTAGGCCAAGCACCACCTGGCACACTTGGAGGTCGGCCAACTCGCACCAACGTTACCAGCCTCTCCCACATTGTTGCACCTCCTGTTAGTCACACAACTTGCCCTCTTGCATTTTCTCCATTACTAAATTTCAAAGATGTTTGGTCTGAAACTGGTTTCACCTACAATTCGATTACCTGCATTTTTTTACATTAATAATTGCAAACGTTACAGAAAGACGGCTTCATTGCACCAAACTTGTTGAAGAATTTGCAATATCATGAGTAGTAAACTAAGCCAACGTACATACTGCAAACTACAACATTTCACTTGTTGCAACAAAGCTACATATATTCACCGTGCCCTCAATCTGAAGGTTAGACTATGATCTAAGTAATTCTCAGAGGACATCAAGCCTCAAGATCCTAGAACTAGAGTCATGATGCCCTGGGTAGAACAAGTCAGTCAGTTGGTGGTGGCCGAATCATTTCCAGGATTTCTTACAATTAAAGATTTCATGATGTTATCCAAGATATCTAAAAACATAATAATACTATTGAACCCTCCTTTCCTTTAACTACTACCTATTGTGAAATTACGTGAGGTCACCAACTCTACGACCTCTGTTACAATGCCTGGTGAACGAGAGCCATGACAATAAATCGAATTGGCTGGCAGAAAATCGCATGTTTCTCAGATGTATAATTACCACATAAAGGGGTACTGCACGTTTCACTGGCAAGGCCATTCCTCGTATTGTGGCCGCCAGCCCCAACCATCTCTGCCCTGACCTCTTGCCCCATCTCCCAATTACCTACGGCACCACCCGCCCTCCAGTCTCGGCCAATAACTGTCATGCTTCGCCTCTAACCTTGCCATATCTACCACGTTGTAACCAACCTCGCTTCACGAGTACTACTCCACCCCCTAGAGACCAGTTTCACGTATAACTACAACCAAGTCTCAACACCACCCACCCGAACACATCGTTATCTTAACTCTACACCAGGTGAAAGTTTGTCAAATTTACTTCCAAGTAAATTAAACATCTGGCCATAACACCTTCACAAACACACACACACAAAGTCAAGCCAATTTGTGTGGTAATATCAGGGCTTATTACAGCACGTGTGTGAGGGCCTCCAGGCATAATATTTAGTCCATGTGAACTACTACCTTTAGCACAGCATTAGCTCAAAACACCTACACGGTTGATGTCACCAGTCAATCTTCCTAAATACTCTAGATACCCTTTACGTCATTGGTCAGCTGATCTTAAACCCCCCCCCCTCCCCCAACACAGTAATTCTGACAACTAAGCAGCTGACATAACGATAAAAGAAAACTATCAAAAGTAAAGAGTGACGCACTTGCATTACCAACACTATAATAAAAACATCCGTTAATGGTGAGAAATCAAATAGATGATAAGAATGAGAAACCAGAAACTAAGTGAAATGAAAGGTTAACCTGACGTAACAGAGCAAAAGATACCTCATATTCCGGCACAGACACTGATAAATAAAAAAATATATATATAAATAAATAACATATCTAGGAACAGGACTCAAGTACGGCAATAATAATGAAAGTCCGGTCTCAAGGAAACAAAACCCCAAAAGTGATTTTTTTTAAGCTCAAAAACCTGGTGGGCGTGACCGTCGACAGTCAGATTCCTTTTATCTGCACCCCCCCTAACCTAACCCCCTTGGCTGAGATAATCCACCGTGGACAGGATCAAATGGTAATCCGCTGAACACTGGCATGCATGACCGCCATAATGCTGCTCCATGCCCACCAGGATGTTGCCATTGACATAACATAACATCCGACAGTTTTTATACAGGACAAATGAATCATTCTACCTTTAAAGCAGCGTACTCAGGGCTGATGAACAAGTGTATATAAATTATGATGTGATTAAAGAGGCTGGTGGTCAAGAGGGTAGCAGAGGCTGAAGTAAGAAAACCACAGAGCTGTTACTTGTAAAGCGTTAATTGTTACTTTATTCTTCTGGATACCTCACACTCTGTTTTACCACCCAATATTTTTAACGTGACCACTTTTTTTTGGGGGCTAACTTATTTAAATTCAATCAATATGTCACCTGGGTTAAACACACTGGGTTAAACCTTAGAGTGAATGTCTGAAAACCTCTTAACATTATTTTCACTGTTTACAACTTATTGACCAAAAATTCTAAGTTTTATGTCTTGACTGATGAAAACCCTGTTAACCTAGTTTGCCTGAGGTCAACATGACAGTACACGGAGACGAGTGGACACCTACATATTAAGCATACATAAATAAGTCCACTAAAAAAGAGGAGGGGAGGGGGCAATAATAACAAGGTATTCTGGTACTCACTTTAGCCTCCTGCAGCTTGCGGGTGAGCTGCTGGTGGTTGTCGATGTCATCTGCCTGAGTCAGCTCGTTGGCTCGATCTGTGAGGGTCTCGAGGGTCTGACGTAGTGTCTTCACCTGTCGCTGTAGTTCTCGGATTTGGCCAGTCTGCCGCTGACGCTCCACAGCCTGGGCTTGCAGCACCTCCCATCGCTGCACGATACCTTAGAAGAGGAAATAATATAGTTTAGTCAACAGTTCTGCTGTATCACAAACAGTATGTGCTGGCAAGTAAACAATGTGAGCCTGCAGACTTGACGACATTAAATTTCGAGTTTCATATGAGTATTCTTATTTAGTGTTGTTACCCTTTACAAAAGACACAGAGAACGGCAATTCATATGTTACAAAGAAAATGAAAACTTGACATTGAAGGCAGACTAAAGTAAAGACTACTTGGCCATGCCGAGTTACACACACACACACACACACTTACGGCACAGAATTGGATAGAATTTCCTCCTCGAGTAGTCGCTTTCATAGCCTTCATCAATCGCACTTGTGCAATTGTAAGGCGGCATGTCGAATTATACAGTAGAATTTTCAAACGCTCTCCATTTCACCTTGAAATTATTTCATGTAAAATTACACTAGAATTAAAGCTTCTAGACCTACAAATACAATCATGCACAAATACAGACAAGCAAAAACCTACATCTCAACTCCATGAAAGCAGACAACCACATTTCTTTAGAAAAAATCTTATCCCCTCCATCAGTCAAGACCGACGGTGAGCTGCCCAACAACCTGCCGCCACAGTACAGCGCACCGCGCGGCCGACTACAGTACCGCGTCGCGTCCTTGTTCACCCCCCCCCCCCCATGTGCTTCCTTTCCACAGAAATCAATACATCTCTATACCGTAACACAACGCGAGTGAGAATATATACCGTACTACAAACATCCCGTCAGATTTAATTCAACCTATGGTAATACTGTTTGTAATGTCACAATTATTCCTTGACGCTGGGTGTAAGGTGGCAATAGGACGCCTTGATATAACTCAGTTCTGTGGATACTATCGATTACCAGTTGACCAAGCCACACGTGATCATTGCTTTCTCTACATATTTTGTCAGCTGCACGCCTTACAGTCTGTTGTTGAAAACTCGTTCCTTGCTCCTACACTTCATGGTCTTAAATGACAATATCTTCACCAATTCCCTCTCCCTCCTAACCATTACTCAATTATCAAAAGATCTCTCCTGTCATCACTGTTACACCACACCACCACTTCTCACTTCCGGCTCCTCCCGATCCTATTTTTCTGCTCAATTACCAGCCATCAACTTCAATAATAAATGTCATAAATTACCATTGGAACATAACTCATCCTTCTGTAAACTGTTATGACGTCTAACTTGTTTTAACGCGTATTTTTTTATGTACACCCACTTAAAAATTATTCGGCACCCTGACGGCGTGATACAATATGACACAAGTGCCGAATAATTTTTTAGTGGGTGTACAAACCTTTCACCACCACTACCAAGTAACCACACACACGCTCTTTCTCAGTATGTTCTCAGCACAATATTTCTTTAATAAAATTCCTTCAGACGTATTTTTTGGGTAGATATTGTATACCATAACGAGGTCTGCAATTTCTCTACTGATATTTCTACTGACAAAGTTAATTCGTATCACTCATATAACCAAATACTACCATCTTTCCCCCTTCACTTAATGAGTTACACCTGTCTTCTGAATAACTTAAATGCCATTCTTGCACGCGATACTCAACGTTGCTAGGCTCCGCCACCTGGACGCTCTCATTGCCCGCTCCGGACGGCAGGGGGTTAGGTTACCAGAAGCTCTGCAAGCGCAAGGCTTACAACCACACCGTAGGGTTTCTATTTACTTATTGGACAGCGCATATATACTGTATGTATGCGACAAAAATTGAACTGTATCTTATATGTTTTAATGAATTCTATAGACTTTATCTCTACAACTAACTATTGAACTGTACTTAGAAGTCTTCACACATCGATACACATCAGTTAACTTCCGTAATATATGTCAGTAACAATAAACTGATTTAAATAAATACGGATTCCCTTCCCTGGGAAAAGTTTGTGACTAACTGGCTGTATCGAATTACTGCACTCTCAAAACAGCTGAAATATTCATCAGCTGTTCCTCGACATCCACACGACATAAGGCTGGATCATGGTGGATTTTAAAAACTGTTTCCGAAAGTAAATTAATCTTATTTTAAACAAAGGGAGGCCGAACACTAATTAGGTATAGAAGCAAAACTTTTCAAAACGTAAAATTCCGATCAACACACGTGAGGCATAAACTAAACAATAACAACAGTTCTCAGCAGACATTTGGGGAGGAGCGGGCCAGCGGTAAGACAACTTTCACCTATTATTTATTACCTTGGACAAAAAAACAACGGCTCCCCCATACCACCTGACAATAACTGCTTAACGCTGACTTCGATAAAATGACTATTAACTGTAATATGCTTTACCTAACTAATGGTGCACCTCACACCCACAACGAACACTGCTGATTTCCTAGTTACGCATTGTGAAAATTGTGATATTCCCTTTTATATCGCTAAAAATAAATAAACAAACAGTTGAACGAGGAAAATAAGATAGATTTTGCACTAAAAAAAATGCGTTTAAAAGCTCGGGCATTAATGGGAAGAAATATTAATAAAGACGCAAAGAAAAACACAAACACCAGCGATCTGTGATTACGGGAATGATACCTGAAGTAGGAAGAGAAACTTGTCCAAAACGAAAGCCGAGTTATTACTGACAATCAACGCTTAAGACTTTCCCCTCGACATTACATCCGTGGGTGTGAGCCTCGGCCGAGTACCAGCCCCTCCCCTCCACACACACACACTACCTCAACCCCTACGCCTCAGGCTCCCACACAGTGACACACGTCTTCCCCACCATACACGCCTCTGTTCCCCCCATCCCCCAATTTATACACAATCTCTTACTCCCACATTCCCCCTCCCTCACACCTACTCTTCCTCCCATCCAGAAAAATCTCCCCCTCGCCACTACACACGCACCTACATCCCCCAATCCTTATACGTACTTAGTCCCCTACACCTTACTTATCTCCAACCCAAGATAATAGCTGCACTATATACACTCTAATCACACCTTGAAAATCGTAGTTACTCCTCAATAAACCTCATACTAAGAGAGCAATGCAGGAAGACGTTACATACAGATCAACAGCGAATACTCCCACGTGCAAGTCTGGAGGTGAGGTTGGACAGCATTCAATGGTTGGTCGGGCTGGTTACTGTACTTTGTTGGCCCACAGGTATCGATTCCTCTTAGGAACTTTGGTGTCAACGGCCGGTGAGGACATGGAATTCCACCTGACTACCACCACTGTCATGACTGGGAACCACGCAAGGCTCCCTCCCTCCCTCCCTTCTTCCAGTGTAAGTGTGAATACGATAAGAAACAGGAAAAGAAGAGCGAAAATGAGGATAAAAGGAAGTTCGAACAGGTGAAAAAGATATGGAATTAAAACAAGTGCAGGGAGAGGATGAGTCAGTAAAGGAAGTCAGAATTGTGTAGTGTACGGATTTACCACATAACGCCCTGAAGCTCCAGTTCATCGGTGCCACCGTTGACCCACTGTTGCTCTTGTCGCAACTTTCCCCGTTATAGTGCACCGCCTTTCACCGTTATTCTACCTGCCATCGTCCGCTCTTAATTATAACTACCCCCTGTGTCCGTTACTGTGGCTACCTCTCTTGTTACTCTGGTCATCACAAGTTGTTCATATGAATTTTTTACTTATTTTGTCCTTTACTTCGAAAACTCTTTGTTCGCTTCTCTAACTCGCCCATGTCCAAGGATAGCAATAGCGACGTGACACTCAGAGCTGTAGTTCCTCACCACGTGACACACTTTGACTCTGTCTTCTAAGGACTCGAAGATCGAAGTCCAACTTTTTTTAGTTTAACAAATTTATTGACAAAGCTTAGAGTACAGTTTGTCTATTCAGGTTAACATCAATTCCCATGAGCTCACACGTGACAGTGATGGGTACGTGAGCGGGCAGGAGGAGGGAGATACTGCGCAGGTTATTGCGTAACTACCACCACCCTCCCACCCCACCATCACACTTCTGTATATATTTTCTGTTACATTATACTCTCCCTCAGTTTGTGTATCCTTGTCTGAATATTTATTTTATTAAACTGGTATCCAGTATTCTGTAGGGGCGAGTGTTATGTCGTCAAGTGGTGTAACACTGACACCTCCCTCCCTGTCCCACTTCCGTCTTGAGCGTGCTTTTGTGTTACTTCTCTCTGCCTCTGCCTGATGTCTGATAATGGTCATGTCTCAGCAAGCCAGGACTTACTCCACACACACACAGTCGGTTAACATCCAATACAGCATACATCTACAGTACAAAAACAAACAATATTATGCTACGGTAGAGAAATTAACGATTGAATTCTGGAGAAGTTAAATAACATGGTATTCCCAGTCCCTGGTTTATAAATCACACCCGTGATTTTACAGATACATGAATCACATAATGCACCCGGGGCCCCCCATCCCTCTCGCGTTTGAGCAAGGAGTAGCTGCGCAGTGCCCGCGTTCCCACGATAATCCAGCTCCTGTATACTCAGGCCAATATTACGCTCCTGACACACTTCTTCCAATACACTGATCGCCACCATACTTTTACACTACCCGCAGAAACAAATTTATCCTTAATTTCAGTTTTTAGCAATGATAAAATTAACATTTCGCTCTAACCACGAAGATTATTGGCTGTTTACACCAACACAACAACAAGGTAAGTCTCAGGAGCCCCTTGGTGTTGTCACCTGGCACTGTGCACTAGTAAGTCCGCGCGATGATCGTTCCCGCAAGGCACTGCCACGGGCCCAGGAGCTGTGCCACCCGACCCACTCCCACAACCTGCCACCCACCACCACCCCCTCCTGCATACTGCACCGCCCAGGTCATTGACATTTATATCACCCTCCCCTGAAGGGGCCCCAACCCACTAAAGGTCTCCACCGTAATATACCGCCCAGCTGGTCATGCTCTCACATCACCATAACATATTTAAAACATCTGTCATTATCAAATAAGTCTTAGTGTAGCGGCGCGTTGTTGCAACAAGCAGCCTCTACGCAGTCCGGGGAGCACATAACAGCCGTGGGTGACGAACTAACAGGATAATGACTATAGGTAATAGCCTTCTCCGACGGGCCAAGTTGGTTTATTCTACTTCCACACTTAAATGTATCATTATTGGCCGTCAATGAAACTCATCAGATACCCGTAACACTGAGTGTCTTAAACCAGACTACGTCACATTTAGTCACCCATGACATAAACAAAACTAAAGACTTGCTCATTCCCACATACGTCGTGTTTGGCTCACACTGAAAACCTGACACCCAACAATGACTAACATGCACAGGTCCGCTCCTACTGCGTCGTCACCTGAATTAATTCTTTAACGAGTAAATAACTGGTTTCCTTGTTATCGTGTTTAGCCAGGCAATACAGAGAGAAGGGCGGTGGGTAGGAGGGGGGGCTCTGTTGTTGCTGCAGCCATATAAAGTAACACTGCTGACGCCGATTTATGCAGCCCATAGATCACATGTACAGGTGATCTTGTTAAAGAGAACAACCGAGTAAGCACATTCCCGGCAGCCAGGCACGGTGCCTCGTGGATCGTCTTTGCAGACTACCTGCTACACTACCACCTCCTCCACCACAGTAAACACAACTGGTGCACAGGCGCCCCTCTGCTAGCAACGCACCACAAGTGAAATCTTACAAAGGCCCCTTCGACAGCCACTCCCCCTCCAGCACCCCACCCGCTCTCCCTTCTGTCTCTCTTAGTTATGTATTTTTCTCTCCTTTATCTTCACATCCATTCATCATTCTCTCTCGTGAATGACTGTTCTCTCATTTCTTTATTATTTCTTTATCTTCATGATAGGCGGCCACACCACTGCATGTATACTAGGGTCATCACACAAGGAAGTCCTCACTTCTGGATGCACCTAACAACAAATACGATCAGTCTCCTCATTATCGCAAGAGACTTAAACCTGCATACCGGCCGAGCACTGACATTATCAACCTATGACCAGGACTGCAGGATAAATCACACGACCACTACCCGCACGGCGGTGTGTGTGAATAACGGCGGGAAAGACAAAACCTCGGGCGAGGGAACCAAGGCAGTGGTGTCACTGTTTAGTGTGTAACGTAACACACTCCAGGCTGCCAGCATCACGAGCGATATATACGGGGAATATTGTAGAACTGATTATCCTGCATGACGCTTATGAGGTATGACTTATCCGTCTTACCAAAGTTGTTACCAAGGACACGCCACAAGACGGGTGTCCTCCGCTCAGTTCTACACACATCATAGTACGTTCTAATGGATATATTTTGCGTGTACTTTACTTCCGTGTGAGCCAGCGAGTACTGTACATGATGTGTCTATCGGGAAGAAAGACAAAGGTACAGCTATTAAAAATACAAATTCATCTACACATGGCAACTTCATGCTCACCACTGCGTAACGGGTTACACAAGTCCCCCTCCGCCATAACGACTAGCCTTCTTCGTCAGCTTACACACACACGGAAAAATATATCATTTAATTACCAGTAACGCACCTTAACACTGTATCATAGTACCATGCAAATCTAATGTTATGCACCCAAGTTAACCAAGTGTCACACAAGTTTAGACATCTCACAACCACCACCATACCTGGTCTGATTTAATGCCCTCAAAAAACAGTCACGGTTAGCAGCTGTATCTTCTCTGCTCAGCACAAAAAGTCATTAGGTTTCACAAGACAAACTCACACATCATTTCTTTCAAGATTTCAGGTTAGTCTTGCTCACCTACCTTGTCTGGTCATAATCCAACTTTTTATCAACACAAAAGTTGGGACAAATTGCCAATATTATGCAAACAGAGTATGACAAGTCCTATCCGCACATCATGCTTGTTGTGGGCGTCAATAGTGGGTGAAGACGTCGTCCAGCGAGTCTCGGAACAATACTAAAGAGGTTCCCATTTCCACTATCGTTACAACAATATATAGTACCTTGAGCTGCCCACAAATGACCTACAGAAATACTTTCTACAAACAGGAGATGGTTGTCTTCTGAAGCCCTGGGGTTTTACATTCTGCAACCACTGTATTAACGATTTGGGTTAAATGGAGATAAACAATATATTGGTTATAGCGGTGAAAACAACATTAACACAAAAGCTTCTTAGCAAAGGGAAACACAAGGAAGTGCGCTAGGCAGCCTTATATATTCAGCGCGGTAGGCATTTTCGTCAAGGTCAACACTCGTCCATTCCAGGAGTTTCCACATTTCTCTGCATTTTTTTATTACGTAATTTACAAATATACCAGGTATTTGTACCTACATTGTGGTTGAAGGATGCATGAAGTTTCGTAGAGATCGTGTATACATCACCCTACCCCCCCCCCCATATATACTTGTATATACAGTATATATATATATAATATAAGGACTAGTATTCTTTTCACGAGTCATCCCTAAACTCCGTAAATCTCAAGTTTTCTACGTTGAGTATTGTACACAACAGAAAACGAAACCACTTCAATACATTTTATGGTATACCTAAATATAAAGTTTAATATTAAAAAGTTTAAAACACCCTGGGGCTACGTATCGGGTCACTGCAACGCTTTTAGGCAACTTCCAGATACAGAGATTTATGGATAGATGCCACACTTACGGATATTCCACACCCTTCCCCCAGAAACAGTTCAGCAAGCAGGATAAAGATGAACGTGCACAGGCATGTTAGTTTAATAAGAAAGAAACTTCTGTTTGTGGCAACATTAGTCACAGAATAAGTTAAGGCATGCAGGGCTAACCTTGAGTTTCCCTTAGTAGCCTAGTAACCTTGGGCACCTTCCTAGCAGATTGGGTTCCTGGGAGGGGCAGGGACGACCCGGACTCCAGGGGGGCGGGGGAGTCATCTGATGTGGAGGCCCAGCCTATATAGTTACCACCACCAACCCACCAACACCACAGCCAAAGGCAAATGGGAGGGGAAGCAACATATAAGAATGCGAAATTTACAAAAGAACAAAATCTACATATAGAGTCAATCCTGTACATACAGAAACTTCAACAGTTACACAATATTTGTTGACATGAAGCATATGACAAAAGACAAGATTTCAGCACCTATTACACTCCTGTTTGTTTATTCCTTCAACATTGACTACACCCTTAACTTAGAACCCTGAAAAATAAACAAACCCAATTTGCCAACTTACTGGTGACGGTGATGGACCTCTCGGGGTCATAGCTCAGACTCAGGGACCCCGGCACCACTGTATCAGACTCGTTCTGGTCGTCGTGTTCGTCCGAGTCCGTAAGATATATCGGATTGATCTGATACATGTCCCTGAATGTCCTAAAGCTATAGTCTACCTGACTCATTTTCTCAGGGGTGGACTCCACACTGCTCTCAAATCTGAGCGCCCGTAAACTCTCCGTGGCTTCGCGTTGTAACTTTTCGGGTAAAAGTTCTTGGACTTGGTAAGACTCGTAGGTCAGGTCCGGGATATTGAAGGTCGGGGAGGCAGAGTCGTCTCGGGGGGGTGAGCGGGAGCGGGATCTAGACAGAGACATCTCATCTGACCCCTGAACACCTGAACTGGAGGCCGGCGAGGACCCTGGTAACGGGGAATCTTCCCGTACACCAAGATGGTCGTCTGCAACACCCTCGTCAGTACCATCCTCCCTCACACTCGCACCAGTAGGGCGCTCTCGCTCACGCTGCAGCCGAGGGCCTACAATCTCATTAATCCTTGACCGAATGTCTTGGGAGTTTCCTTCGCACTCTCCACTCATATCTTCTGGTTTGCTCCCCATACTGTCCTTCTTATCAGATTCGTGCTGTTCACCAACATGAGTTTCCACCCCCATTCTCAAGTCATCACCTGATAAAACCTCACCATGGTCATCCAAGAGCGGTGGAATACAGAGCTGCTCATCCTTACTACCAATACCCATTCTATCATTATCTTTGGATTCTGTTGCCTCAGCTGGGCCACATAAACACGGACCTTCGTAAATTATTTCACCCGCGTTTATCGGCGAGTTCATATCGTCCTCGCCGGTGTTAACAACCACGACGTCACTTACCCCTTCCGTCATCGTATCTTCCACAAAATGAGAAGTTTCGTCCTTTGCTTTACATATCCAAGGACCTGACTGTGACTCGTACTCTGAATCCGTGTCATCATAGGAGTACACATAGCCCAATTTCTGGGTTCCTACCACACTTGGGAAAGACTGAACATAATCAAACCTCTCAGTTAAACTATCTGTGCATGAACTGTGCTCGCCGTCGACGTATATTGCGTCCCGATTGTCACTAACACTAAGATTGGGTTTATTTTCCCCAGTCACTTTTTGGGTGTTTGTGGAGGATTTATTATATTGTTCCGCATCACTTGTTAAATTCATTGGTTGTTCCCTTTTGCCGTCACTGTCAGATAGAGAAGGATTAGTTTCTTCACTAGATTCACTATCTACGACATATTCAGTGAGAACTTCCGAAGGTGTTGCTACTGTACAAGCCTTCACGATGTAAAAGTCATCGTTCTCTGTCATTGAACTTTCAAGCGAGCTGTCACTATCCTCGTCCCCACTGGCGTTAGTCACTTGGATGGCCACACCTGTCGTCATTGAGGTGACAGTAGGGGAACGGACAAGAACCCCGTCACAAGTTTTCACCTCTGTTACCTGTGCCAAAGCAGCAGCAGGTCCTACCAGCTCTCCACATAAATTGTTCAAATTCTCAGAGTCGCTGATTTCCCCAGAGGCGGAAGAAAGGGCGGTACATACTGTCTCCATCACAGCGGTGTTGTTTGTTGAGCACCTGGCGGGTGTCAGCAGGCTGGCCTCAGTGCACGACTCTGCCACCAAATTAGAAGTGCCTTCAACAATTTCTGACTCGCATAACTCATTGCCGAAAGACAGACTGACAACGTCTCCATGCTCGGCTTTGAACTTCTCTATTTTTTCTTTCCAAGTTTTGCCACGCACGAGTTTTGGCCTCTCCTCTATGTGTGGAGGCTTAACCACTGCCTCTGCCTTGGCCTCCCGCTTATTTTTCTTACCTTTCTTCTTCCCAGCTTTCTTTCCATTAACTTTCTCCTTTTCTTTGCCACTTTCTGAATTTCCAATACATTTACCATCCTCGGGGACTTCAGGTGATGGCGAAAGGTCACCCAACTTCACATCCGGAAATTCCAAACTAGAAGCCTCCGGTTCGACACCCACTTGATGTTTATCCGATGCCAAACTTAACTCTTCGCCTTGGCACTCGTCTCTGCTCTCCACCGCCCCGCTCTCACTCTTCGATGGCGACTCTTCTCTTACACTCAGATCCAAGGGTTCCTCATCACTGTCTATAGCGTAGTCAGCTGTGCCTACACATTTATCTTCACACGGCACCAACTCTCCGTCTGACTCCGTTTCAGAACCAGATTTTCTCTCACGGCATTCATAGCCAACAGAGACTTGTGGTGACTGCTCTCTGTACTCTGAGGTCCACGTGGGTAACTGGTCTTCCTCAGTGACGGACAGCAGCACTTGGGTCTCCTCGTCACCTCCCATGATGGTACCAGGTGGTATCGGACTTAAGATATCATGTTCCTGATCTTCCATAAGTGCAAGAAATACAGCTTCAAGATCTTCCTTGGTGATAACGTCGTCACCATCATCACGGTAGTCGTCACACACACTGGCCTGCTCCACCGCTGTGGTGTCCTCTGCTACCAGCTTCCGCCAGTCGTCTTCCTCCACTATGATGCCTCCGCTGAACTCACAGGGGTTTCCACTGACAGTTTCCTCGCTGCTGCCACTGGGTTCTGTCTCCCATTCATAGTCGTCATCGGCATTCCCTTCGCCACTTTCTTCCTCAGATCCATCAATGAAGGGTATAATACTACTGCCATTACCTCCGGTGTAGGGTTGTGAGTTACCACAACTAATATTACCATCCCTTACTCCCTTACCATAACCTCTACTTTGGACACTCCTCGTCAGCCCACTACTACCGTCGGCAAGTACTGCAGATTTCTCTCCATAATGAGGGGAGTTATTTTCAAGAGTAATATTTATATTAGCTGAAGGTCGCAGCAGTGGGCCAATAAAGCCACTATTGTAGTCCTCCGGGTCAGTGTGTGTCTCAATATTGAGAAACTCGTTACTGAAATCGTTAAACTTTCCCTCACATTTGATATCTTCTTCCTTAATGGCATAGTTCTCACCACTTATCTCCGCCTCACAGTCACTGATGTCTTCCCAACAGTCTATCACACCATCGTCTTCGGTGTTACTGTATTCATCAATGTTGTCAAGGTCGAAGGTCACTCTTAAACCTTTACCGGACCCTTTCTTACTAGGAGACCTCGGCTCCTTCAACACTCCTTTTCCGTTAACTACAGGCAGTGAGTAGACCTCCCGGGCCGGGGACTCGGGCGGCTGAGGTTGGCTGGCCGGGGACTCGGGCGGCTGGGGTTGGCTGGCCGGGGACTCGGGCGGCTGGGGTTGGCTGGCCGGGGACTCGGGCGGCTGGGGTTGGCTGGCCGGGGACTCGGGCGGCTGGGGTTGGCTGGCCGGGGACTCGGGCGGCTGAGGTTGGCTGGCCGGGGACTCGGGCGGCTGAGGTTGGCTGGCCGGGGACTCGGGCGGCTGAGGTTGGCTGGCCGGGGACTCGGGCGGCTGAGGTTGGCTGGCCGGGGACTCGGGCGGCTGAGGTTGGCTGGCCGGGGACTGAGGTTAGCTGGCCGGGGGGGCAGCTGGGGTGGCTCGGGACTCAGGCAGCTGAGGTGCTGGCCGGGGGACCAGGCGGCTGAGGTTAGCTGGCCAGGGGACTCAGGCGGCTGAGGTTGGCTGGCCAGGGACTCGGCTGAGGTTAGCTGGCGGGGACTGGCAGCTGGGACTGGCCGGTCAGGCGGCTGGGGTTAGGCTGGCAGGGACTCGGGCAGCTGAGACCCAACTGGCGGGGACTCGGGCGGCTGAGGTTAGCTGGCGGGGACTAGGCAGCTGAGGCTGGCGGGGACTCGGGCAGCTGAGGTTGGCTGGCGGGGACTCAGGCTGGGTTAGCTGGCCAGGGACTCAGCGGCAGTTAACTGTGAGGACTCCGGGGGCTCAGGCGGCTGAGGATTGTGGCCAGCTCAGGCGGCTGGAACTGGCCAGGGGCTCGGGCTGAGTTGGCTGGCCGGGGGGCTCGGGCGGCTGGGGTTGGCTGGCAGGACTCGGGCGGCTAGGAATTGGGGACTGGCCGGGCTGGCCAGGCAGGACTGGGGGCGGCTGGGGTTGGCTGGCCGGGGACTCGGGCGGCTGAGGTTGGTTGGCCGGGGATTCGGGCGGCTGAGGTTGGCTGGCCGGGGACTCGGGCGGCTGAGGTTGGCTGGCCGGGGACTCTGACGGCTTGGGTTTGCGTTTGGACTTATTTGGGTGAGGGCGGTTAGGGGCGGACTTCGGCGGGTGAGGGCGGTTGGTTGAAGACTTTGGCGGGTGAGGGCGGTTGGTTGAAGACTTCGGCGGCTGGGGGCGGTTGGCCGGGGACGCAGGAGGACTGGACCCGGGAAAAGAGGGGTCGGCCTGGCGCCTCCCCTCTCGCATCGTCTCTCGTCTGGCCGCCATCACCACGGTAAACTGACACTTGTTTTTACGACGACGATCACTTTACAAGGCCAAAGGTGGATGTCTCGTTAAGCATCAGAACGAGCACTGGTCATCACAGGTCCACAATTTACACGTGTCCTGACCAACACCTGATGTCATGATCCACCTTAACTCGTACAGTATATATCAGGTGTCTTCAAGAGAGCTCAGGCTCTCAACTGGCTCAGCCATGTTAATACCATCATCTTTAATTGACTCTGTATGTGTTCTGGCTAAATAAACTGTTTCAATATCTCACTCATACGTCAACAAGATCGTTTAGGTTTTCAATCCTTTATTCTAG